TACAAATAAATAAGTAAATTAATAGTTAAAAAAAAAAAAGCTTTGCAATGAATAAAATGCTTTAATACTAGCCATATCATCATCCAAGTCTATATTATAATCATCAGAAATTTCAATTGTATTTGGAATTTCCTCTTCATCAAAAATATTATTTGTATAAAGCTCATTGACTAGAGAACAATCACCATGAGGCTTGTCCTCATAAACTAGTTCATAAGAGGTTTTTTTATATGATCTACACCACGAATTGCTCATGGCTACTACAACCAACCTCAAGCCGAATGACTAGTTATTTTTACTAATTGTTTCACACCATTTTCCTAGCTTTTGCTCCAAGATACTATTGGCATGTTCTACTAAACCTTGTGACTGGGGATGCCTAGGGCATCTATTAATAATTTTTACTAATAGCCATAGTGCGATTAATTCCTTGATCACTTGTGCTACAAATTCCTTTCCATTGTCTGACTGTAATATAGTTAGAGGTGATCTAATCATATGAAAAAAATCAAAAAGATATGCTGCGACTTCAATCGGTCTCTTGGATATTAGAGCTCTAGCCCACAAGAACCTACTAAAATAGTCTTTTACATGGCACAATACTTGAACTCTCTATCCGGAATGTAAGTTAGATCAATCAAATCCATCTGCAGGAAAAAAAAAAAATTAACAAAAAATTTAATTTTAATTTTTAAAAATGTAAAACCTATCTGAATGGAGACAAAAAATTTTTTGCTATGATTGGATTCGCCGCCAAAGGATAGAATGCTGGTTTTTGGGCTGCACACACAGTGCAATTATTCACAAATTGTTTCACAACCTCTTGTTTTACAAGCTCCCACTTTTCACAAACTGATATCCAGGTTTGCTTTTGACCACCATGTTGTATTATTTTACCATGAATATGACAAAGAACCTCATAAAACCTTTCAGTTATCAATACAGGATTATTTGTAGCCTTTACGATCACTCTGTAATCTCCAGATATAATTTCTTCGAGCCTAAATTTTTTTTTGGCCCAACCTCGTATATTCTTGTCATAAAGTAAGGTGTTTTTGGAGTTTAGTAAAATGTTTTTTATCTTATTTAAAAGTTCCAGATTAATTAAGACTTTTCCTTGCTTTGCTTTTGAAAGATTATTTATATAATTTTCCAAGTTTTTGTCAAGAGTATCTCTACTAATAATTATATATTCCTTTTTATAGGTGGTGAAAAAAAAAAATTTGAGCAAAAAAAAAAAAAAAAAAAAATGATGCCAAAGAAAATGAGGCAACTAAGCCAATGTCAAATGTATTAGTAGACACTAAGAACAAAGCCAAAGCCAACGTCTAATATATTAGTAGCACCAAGAACAAAGCCAATATCCAATGTATAATTAGTGGGCTACAAGAACAAACTCAACGTCTAAAGTACTATTTAGTAGACACCAAGAACAATGCCAACATTCAACATTTAAGGTATTAGGTACCAAGAACAAGCCAATGTCCAAGTACTATTAGTGGGCACCAAAAACAAACCTAAAGTCAAACATATAAAGTATTAGTGGACACCAAAAACAAACCCAATATCCAAAGTACTATTAGTAGGCACCAAGAATTAAGCCAACGTCAAATGTATTAGTGGGAAACAAGAACCAAGCTAACCAACAAGAAATGAAAATCAAATACAAAAAAAAAAAGAAGGTAAGGTAAAAGCAAAAAGGCTTTTTATACCCTTATTGTAATAATATTATTTTATTTTTCGTAATGATGTTATTTCATTTCGTAATTACATTCTTATATTTGCTAAAATTTTTTTTTTTATCTTGCGTCAGATAACAACCTACATACCTCAGGTGACCGATCGACAGGCTACGTGCGTTATCTAAAAATCGGCATCTAACATGCATCGGATTGCATCTGATGCAAGGATACATCTGAGGCATAACATAAATATTAATTAATAGTAAAGACTGTATTATATATTTGTACTACAGGTTTGCAAGCCTTTTAAGCCAAAATTAAGCCAATATCAAATTCTGATGAGCAAATTATATAAAAATTTAATATAGTATAAATTAATATAGTTTAATCTTAATATAATTACTAGCTTAGAAAACAAAAATCTGGTAATTATAAAAAGTTGTGCCTATATAAAGGTCAAATTTTGAATATTTTATATTAGTTTGATTTAAAAGATAGTGTAATTTATTAGAGTTGTAATTATACCTAAAGTAACTATAACAGGGTTAAACAATATTATATATATCTACTATAAAAATTTTATCTAATTTAAATTAGTAATTATTAAAAAATTATAGCTAAATATTAAAATAAATTTATAACTTTTTAATTTTTATATATTTTTACTATAATATTTAAATTATTAATTTCTAGTTATAACAAAAAAAAAAAACTCTTCCCGACAATCACTCGTACAAAAATTTTTCAAAAAATAATTCAACAAAATTTTACTTTTTG